GGTGGAAGAATCAGCCCGGACTTCTCGGCTGAGTGCAGCTGTTGAACACAAGACAGGAAAGCGCAGAGGCTGTGAGGAGAAACTGCAGAATAACTGAAGCAGACCAGGCAGTAAGTAACATTACTGTTCCTTCTTATGAGGAGGAGGAGGAGGAAATGGGGATTAGACAGCATTAAATAACTGCTGGTTTTCTTTAAATGCTGAGAAAACATCCTACTTCTACTTCCAGGAGAGGCTATTGTATGAAGTCAGGGGAATTTCACACAGCCTGTGAACCACCGTATTTAGAGGGCTGTATGTAACTATGCTGGTGGTGGTGGGGGGGATGGTGTTTTTCTTTGTCTTTTTTTGTGGGGAGTTGAGAGTGGAAAGTTTCTGGGGCTTTCTCTTCACACCGTTGTAACTATGCTGACGTTAATGGCCTGATTCTCCACTTCTTTGTATGTTGCCTAGTTATATACAGTAGAATGTCACCAGAGTCAGGAACTGACCCTTCAACCACACATCTCATTTGGAACTGGAAGAAGGCAATCCAGCAGCAGCAGAGCCAAAAAAACCCAAATACACTACAGTACTGTGTTAAATGTGAACTACTGAAAAAAAGGGAAGATTTAAAAAAAAAAAAGATTTGACAAGATAAGGAAACTGTTTCTTTGCTGCTTTCATTTAAATTAAGGTGGTTAAAAGCAGCATTTTTCTTCTGCATCATAAAGTTTCAATGCTGTATTAAGTCAATGTTCAGTTGTAAGCTTTTGAAAGAAAAAACATTATGTTTTGTTCTGAGTTATGAACATTTCAGAGTTACGAACGTAATTCTGGCATTCTACTGTATATCTGTGGAGAGTGAGTGTAAAATGCTACCAAATTAGAATTCTTAACTGTCTCACTGTTTCAGGATGCAAGGCAATGGGAAGGAAGGGCCAGTGGAGTTGCTCTGGTATAAAGGAAAGCAGAATCAGGCCCTCTGAGAATATAAATAAGCAATATTCCTTTGCTCTCTAGCTATAAGGCTGCCATCCTCCTTTTCTATTATTTATTATATTGGGGAGCAGGAAAGGAAGGCATCTCTTTTGTAAGCTTTTTACTTGTGCTGCTAACAATCCATATGGCTTCCTCTTCTGCCTCCCACCAGAGCTGCCAGTCAAACTGTGTTAAATTAGATACTCTCTGGGCAGTTCTTCCCCTGGCCACATTGTCAAGATGTGCTCTGTCCAGCGGTCATGGCAATCTAGACCAATGCGTCAGCAAAATGGACCTGTGCTCATAGATACTTTAAAACAAAAACATAAGAAAATGTTTAAACCATACCATGTGGAGGACGTTTTAATTAACTTTATGCCCCCAAGCTTAAAAATTCGGGACTATACAATTAATAATAATTGTGATGCTGGGGTGGACAATAAGAAGGTTGTTTCTCTATGTCCTTAATTAGCTTCAGGAATAAAAGACCTTTTTAGAATGTGGTCTAATTCTGTTCAGAAGTTGACCATGCAATTTTGTTCACAAGATGATCCTACAAGCCCTTACTCATGCATTTACTAGAACTAGACTATCATTTCATAGAATTATGTTCTGTTTTTGGTGTCTGATATTCCAGATTGCAAGCAAAACAACATTGTTGGGATTCCCTCCAAGACCTTTTCCACTCAACTTATCCAGAACACTTCAGTTCTGCAAGAACCCTTTTTTATCCAGTTCTCTGGAATCTAAAAACTCAGTCCAAATCAGGACTCATCACTAACGTTTCTCTATTGGCATTTCAGAAATCTGCGCCTGAGGTGATCAGGCTCAGATGTAGTGGGGCAGGTTAGGGTGCATCACAACTCCAAAGTACATAGTTATAAATCAGATTATATACATATTCTAAAACAGACTAACGCTTGCATTATATTCTACATTGTATCATATGCTTTATGATTGACTACTAATTCTGTGAAATAGGCCCTGTATGAATCACAAGCTATCCATGTGCTACAAACTACTCGTAAGCAAAGCTGCAGCTGCAAGCCTATCACACTTTACTCTTTTTCTATTTCTTTATATACTAGCTACATATTATTTACAAGACCCCTTGGGAATTCATGCTTTGTCCATTGTTAACCTGTTTCCCTACTTCTGTTTTTCTTTGTGTATGCAAGACCTACAAACGCGCACATCTGTGATGCTGCATGCATAATTAAAACACCTCACAGAAGAGAGAACTCTAAGGAGGGCTGTCTTTTTTTTAACTCTGAAAAGTTTATTTATTCTTCATACTATGACTTAATATAGAAAAAGATTTTAAAGTTCTAATTATAACAGGCCAATAGTACATGCTTGCGTATATCAAAGGTCCATTTATGTAAACATATAATAAAGAAGAATATTTATAACATTATTGATTTTCTTTTTTTTCTAGACAAAATAATAAAGTGTGTGTACATACGTACTATAGATATAGGGCGCAATTTGCATTGAGGCCACTGTGATGGGTTGGGTCACAGAGACCCCCTTGGGACTGCTACCTGATGTGCTCAGACTACCTCTGAGCCCATTTTCCCTGGCAGTTTGGGACTTCAGTATCCTGTCTTGTTGAGCCAGACATGCTAGCCTGCTGCAAACACAGACCCAGGTCTGAACCATGTCCCCCAAAAGCTGCAAGCTTAACTGAAAACAGCTTAAGAAGTGCTCCTGTCTCTAGCACCCAGATACCCAGTTCCCAATGGGATCCAAACCCCAAATAAATCCGTTTTACTCTGTATAAAGCTTATACAGGGTAAACGCCTAAATTGTTCATGCTCTATAACACTGATAGAGAGATATGCACAGCTGTTTGCTTCCCCAGGAATTAATTACTTGCTCTGGGTTAATTAATAAGGAAAAAGTGATTTTATTAAATATAAAAAGTAGGATTTAAGTGGTTCCAAGTAATAACAGACAGAACAAATTAAATTACTAAGCAAAATAAAACAAAGACATGCAAGGCTAAGCCTAATACAGTAGGAAACTAAATGCAGGTAAATCTCACCCTCAGAGATGTTCCAATAAGCTTCTTTCACAGACAAGACTCCTTCCTAGTCTGGGTCCAGCAATCACTCACACCCCCATAGTTACTTTGTTCCAGTTTCTTTCAGGCATCTCTTGGGGTGGAGAGGCTATCTCTTGAGCCAGCTGAAGACAAAATGGAGGGGTTTCCAGGGCCTTATATAGTCTTTCTCTTGTGGGTGGAAACCCCTTTGTTCTCCTGTGTAAAATCCCCTCAACAAGATGGAGTTTGCAGTCACCTAGGCAAGTCACATGTCTATGAATGATTCAGCTTTTTGCAGGCTGACACCATTGTTTACATGTTAGTTTGAATGTTCGCAGGAAAGCTCAGATGTGGATTGGCATCTCCCAAAATCCATTGTCAGTTAAGTGTTTCTTGATTGGGCACTTACCGAGAATAGTTCTTTCTCAAGAAGCTGACCAAATGCTTTACTGAGGCTACTTAGACTCAAACAAGTACATAGCCAATATTCATAACTTCGAATACAAAAATGATACACACATACAGACAGCATAATCATAACCAGCAAACTACAACCTTCCCATTGACACCCCACTTGGCCTCCTCTGTATAGGACCTGGTGCAACCATAGGACCCTGGTTGCAGCAATGATCTATACGGTCACAGTTTACGTCAATAACATCACAGCCATGTTATTCTGTTCCAACAATTCAGGGCTCCTTTATACTTCCAGGCAGTGTAAAGTAGCCTTAGCGTAAATGAGAATCAGGCTCATAGTGGCTGGTTTGTTGCAGTTTTGATCTATACCCTGTAAACCGGGTGTGTACATTTGATTCCTAAAAATTCTTAGGGTACGTCTACTGTGTTTTAAAACCAATGGCAGCGAGTCTTAGAGTCCAAGTCTACATACTCGGGCTCATGCTACGGTACTAAACAGCACTGTAGACGTCGCGGCTCAGGCTCTCAAACTCACCTCCTCCCTGGATTTCAGAATACAAACTCGAGCCTGAACATCTACACAGCTGTTTTTAGTGCTGTAGCACGAGACTGAGTCTGTAGCACCATGGCACAAGCCCGAGTGTGTAGATCGGGGCTCGAGACTCACTGTGTAGACATATCCAGAGGGCTCTACAGGTGAAAAATGAAGGTTCAGTGATGCTTAAATATGCTGCTAAAGAATTGTAAGCCTCAGTTGTGGTTGTGTTTTTTTTCCCTTTAGTACTGGCCCCCTTCGTTTATGTCCACAGGAGTTGTTTCTGTTCACACCTGGAATGTTAACTTTGTTAGAAGTAAAAATCATTGGTCATAAAACAATTTTCAACTGTTCTGTGAGGAAAGGTGGGGGGAATGCTATTGGCATATAAGTTGGTGAAAGATTGTTTTAAAAATGTGTTGTCAGTAGCATTAGCAAAACCCTTCAGTCAGATGGACTTCTTGAGGAATGCTTTATAAAGGCAAAGGAAGACTTGAAGATAAAGAATAGCATGTATTCTACGTATGTAGAAGTAACAGGAAGGAAAGAAAAACCAGTAAGGAAAAAGACCAGGAAAAAGTATTGTATTTTTATATAACTTGGGAACAAAAAGTAAAGGTTTTGTGACTGTAACATCCATTGACACTAATTGTTCTGCCAGCAGGGAAATAAGGAGTTTCCCTCTCTCATCTTCTCTTCTATATACCCAGTAGAGATCTTGAAGGCTAATTATCAGCCTTGAGTAGGTTTTTTATGTCAGTTCTAAATTGTTTGGAAATATCAGTGGAAAGAGAAACAAACTCTAAACTGTAGTGAAACTAGTGAGTTTTCATAAATGGGGAGTGTGTGTGTGTGTGTGTGTGTGTGTGTGTAAAATACACGCACACAGCCATTATCTACAAGTCTCTTCTATCTTTTTTTTTAATTGCAGGTGGGTTTCTGCTCCACGTAACAGCAAAGGCTCAGTAGCCTTAATATAGAGCAACGTGTGGGTGAGACGCTTCAGACTCTCTCCAAATATTTTGAATTATAGAAGAAGAAATGAATCTTGCATATGCTGGTGAAACCTTGAGTGTCATATTTGACTGGGACTATGTTCTGTGGGAAGTTCGTTTGAAGTTAGTAGCAGCTGGATTTTTCATCTACCTGGGTGTATTTCTTCTAGCTCACTGGCTGGCCTCATGGATCAGTGCCAGTTATCGCACTTTGTCAGGAAAGGACAAAGTCTTCTCGAATATAGCTATCACTCGTGGCCTGCTTGGGATTCAGAGTTGTGTAGCTGGGTTGTGGGCCTTGCTCATAGATCCAGTTTTTCAAGCTGACAAAGTGTATTCACAACAAAAGTGGAGTTGGTTTCATTGCTTAATAGCCTCTGGCTTCATCTTGTTTGAAAATGTAGTTGTTCATGTGTCTAATATTGTTTTCAGGACATGTGATGTGTTCTTGGTAGTTCATCATTTATTTGCCTTTGGTGGGCTTCTTGGTCTGATAATTAACATAAAGTCTGGACACTATCTACCCGTGATGGGATTGCTACTTGAGATGAGCACCCCTTCAATCTGCATGTACTGGCTTCTTCAAAGGGTAAGAACTTGCTGTATTAATTTTTGGTGATAGAAGTTTCCATTATAAAACTCCCATTGCCTCCCCCTCAAAAAAAAAAAAAAAATCTGCAAAGAAATATTGGCCTTCAAATTGGGAGATTAGTTCTGGGATTAGGAAAGAATTTTTCTTCCAAACTTGAAGTCCTGGGAATCCTTAATTATAACACCCTAAAATACTTGTTCAGTGTTTTTATATATATATATTTTTTTACCCATTTTGTGGCAAAGAAACGAAAAGGGAAGATTTTAAAAAATTTTTTACAGACTCACTAGTTGGGATCTAGTGCACAGGACTAAAGATTAAGTGACTAAACTCTATTTTTTAAAGATTTTTTTTTTAACAGAGTGAAAATAGTAACATGAGAATGTTGGAGCTGATGAGCCAGTCTTAATATAGACCATTACATTTCTCCTGAAGACTAAAGGCATGTGCATGTGTGCTCACATATGAGTGTGTATGTATATTCTGTGGATGCAGAGAGGGAGAACAGCCTTGAAGAGATCTGCCATGCTTGTAGGGAGAAAAGAAATCAGCCCTGCTTCTGAAACCGCAATCAGTTCCCAGTAATAAGTTTAGTAGTTTAAGCTTAAATTATAAAATATCTGGACTCTTTAGAATTACAGCCACAAGCCCTGGCAGGATCACCGCAGCCCTTCTGCAGTGGTTTTAATGAGCCCTTAAACATGGAGGTCCTGTCTGTGCATATAGATCCTAGAGCAGTCAGAGAGTCATGGTTTGCCTGGGTGGTGTTGGCCAAAACTTCCCAGATCTTGCTACCCCCTCTCCACTTTTGTGAGAGGTGCTTTGTTTTGATTGTCTTCCTCCATCCAACATGTGGCTGCATCTAAGTGAAGCTGTATGCACATAGTTTGCAAAGCGGTTTAGAATTCTGCTGGACAAAAATTCTATATAAATGTGCAATCTCTTAGCACTCAAGAGAAATATGATTGAGAGAATGTTTGTATGGCAGTTTACACAACAGACAAGTTAATATATATATCTAATTTCTATGTAATATAGATTTTATTTCTAGAAAATGCTGACTGCTTTATCTCGAAGGTGCAATCTCATTTCTCTTTCTTTGTTGTTTTCTTTTCAGACTGGCTATGCTAATACCCTTTTATGGAAGGCAAACCAATGGGTACTGATCCATATGCAACACTGCCGCATGGTCCTTATTTATCACATGTGGTGGGTGTGTATTTCCAATTGGAATGATGTAGTGGAAAATCTGGGACTTCCACATTTTATCGTCTTTTTCATGGGGTTAAGTACACTTACATTAATACTTAATCCATACTGGATTTACAGATCGACCCAGCGGCTCTTTGGTCCAGTTGACTGGAATTTTTCATTTTTCACTGCTGTTTTTGGATCCTCTGGAAAATTAAATAGTGAAACATTTGAAAAGAAGAGGATATAGTGTTGCAACAGCTATTGGGATAATAGTAAAGTGTGTCCAGAAGAATATAGTGCAGGTTTACTACCGAGTCTATGAAAATAGAATTGCTTACAAGAAGTCTATGAATATATTGATCCCTTTGTAGCTTGCTATTAGTGTACTATACTCATTTATCAAAAGTGTTTTTTAAAATTGTTGTTGTCTATATTTTAAATAGACACACACAAAATCTTTAGGATGACCAGATAGCAAGTGTAAAAAATCGGGGGTGGGGAATAATTGCCTATATAAGACAAAGCCTCTAATATTGGACCTTAGGGTGACCAAAGCCCAGGGCTCCCTAACACAGCTCAGCTGACTCAAGTCCCACTAACTCTGCACTTAAACTGCAGGGCAGACTCACCCAAAGTGGCCACTGACTCTCCCGCCTGGCTTTATAACCACCCCCACCCCTGCTGTGGGAGATAGTTGGGGGGGCACATGGGAAACTGCCCCACATTGAGGCACCACACGCCCCTGCTCTCTGCCGCAGACGGACCCCTCGGTGCCCTCCCTGCCTCCGTCTGTTGCAGGCCGCAATCCCCAGCCAAACACCCTCGGGTCACGGCTGCTGGCGGGCAGCAGCCCAGGCGGACTGGCCATGTGGGGGCGGCGTGGCGGGAGTCAGGTTGCTATTTACCCCGCTGGCGTGCGCAGCGCCCAGCACTGAACGGAGCCCACGCACCACAGGGAGTTGTCCGTGCGGTGAGTGGGGAGCGGAGCTATGCGGTCTGCAGGGCGGGGCAGTGCCGGGACCCCCTCTAGCTGCCCAGAGCCAGGTGGCGGAGGCTCCACCGTGGTGCTGCGCTGCCGCTTTGGGGCAGACTTCTCCCCCAGCTCGCAGCCGCGCCGCTCACTGCGCTTCCCGGGATGGCGGGAGCCCGGGGCGGCGCTCTCCGGCTCTTTGCGCAGCGCACGGGGCCCCGACCCTAAGAGCCAGAGGGACCTGCTGGGGGGCGAGGTGGGGAGTCCCCAGCGGTGCTTACCTGGGGCGGCTTCCGGGAAGCATCCGGCAGGTCCGTCTGGCTCCTAGGGTTGGGTCAGGTCAGGTTGGGTGGAGGGGCGGAGGGCTTTCTGCCCGCTGCTGGTGCTTGCAAGCCCCGCCCCTGCAGCTCTGATTGGGCAGGAGGGAACCGGTGCAGCATGCAGAGACCCCCCTCCACCTCTGTGCCTAGTGGCTGCCAGCACTGCAGGCTCCTGCCGGCGGGCAGGCACGCCCCGAGCTGCCCCAGGAAGCACCACCACGCCAGCCCCGGGACTTTGGCGGTGACTCATGGTGGGCGGTCCCCAATATCGGGACAAAGGGCATCCCGACTGATGTGCAGTCGGGACGCGGGACAAATGTGTTAAAATTGGGACTGTCCTAATAATATCGGGACGTCTGGTCACCCTAAAAATCTTTAACTCAGTCAGGGTTCATGTCAGTAACTTCAGTCTGGGAGCATAATGTAATAACTTCTCATTTTGGGGGAAGTGGCAAGTTAGTGATAGGCAAGGGAGGCATTGTTTGATTTGTAAAAATCTACAGAATCATAATTTCAATGGTGTCCCCCTCGGCAGTATGGCAGGGTGGGTCTCATTGGCACCCCGTCAGCCCATCTCCAGGTCTCCTGTTTGTGAAATTCTGATAATATAACTTGTCAGAAATTGGTCAAGCTAGGTATTATTCAAAAGCCCTTTCTCCCATGAACACAGTGGTATGAAGCCTGACAAACCCAAAACAATTATGTGGATATATATTTGAAGAAATAATGAAATATCACCTTTTTAAATTATTCTTGAATACAGAAGTGCATAGTTTACATGAAAAACACATTGACCTTTGGTAATCCCAGGGAGTTTAGTTTTGACATGTAGGACTGAAAACATTTATTCATCAAAGTCATCATCAGTGTGTCATCTCCATCTAGGGCTCCACTGCTAGACACGTTGTCACATTGATCCTCATCTGTCACACTCACACATCGCTGTATAAGGCAGATGGCTAGCCAGACATTTTCAAGACGGTGAGCATCTGGTCTTTGGACATGATATTTTGATTAGCGGAAAGATTGATTTGGGAGCACATGGTATTTTCTGCATAATTGGTGTGATCAGTCTATCCTCCAAGGGTACGTCTTCACTACCCGCCGGATTGTCGGGTATCAATCGATCTATCAGGGATCGATTTATCGTGTCTCATAGAATCATAGAATCATAGAATATCAGGGTTGGAAGGGATCTCAGGAGGTCATCTAGTCCAACCCCCTGCTCAAAGCAGGACCAATTCCCAACTAAATCATCCCAGCCAGGGCTTTGTCAAGCCGGGCCTTAAAAACCTCCAAGGAAGGAGACTCCACCACCTCCCTAGGTAACACATTCCAGTGCTTCACCACCCTCCTAGTGAAATAGTGTTTCCTAATATCCAACCTAGACCTCCCCCACTGCAACTTGAGACCATTGCTCCTTGTTCTGTCATCTGCCACCACTGAGAACATCCGAGCTCCATCCTCTTTGGAACCCCCCCTCAGGTACTTGAAAGCAGCTATCAAATCCCCCCTCATTCTTCTCTTCTGGAGACTAAACAATCCCAGTTCCCTCAGCCTCTCCTCATAAGTCATGTGCTCCAGCCCCCTAATCATTTTTGTTGCCCTCCACTGGACTCTTTCCAATTTTTCCACATCCTTCTTGTAGTGTGGGGCCCAAAACTGGGCACAGTACTCCAGATGAGGCCTCACCAATGTCGAATAAAGGGGAACGATCACGTTCCTCGATCTGCTGGCAATGCCCCTACTTATACAGCCCAAAATGCCATTAGCCTTCTTGGCAACAAGAGAACACTGTTGACTCATATCCAGCTTCTCGTCCACTGTGACCCCTAGGTCCTTTTCTGCAGAACTGCTACGTAGCCATTCGGTCCCTAGTCTGTAGCAGTGCATGGGATTCTTCCATCCTAAGTGCAGGACTCTGCACTTGTCCTTGTTGAACCTCATCAGGTTTTTTTTGGCCCAATCCTCTAATTTGTCTAGGTCCCTCTGTATCCGATCACTACCCTCTAGTGTATCTACCATGCCTCCCAGTTTAGTGTCATCTGCAAACTTGCTGAGAGTGCAGTCCACACCATCCTCCAGATCATTAATAAAGATATTAAACAAAACCGGCCCCAGGACCGACCCTTGGGGCACTCCGCTTGAAACCGGCTGCCAACTAGACATGGAGCCATTGATCACTACCCATTGAGCCCGACGATCTAGCCAGCTTTCTATCCACCTTACAGTCCATTCATCCAGCCCATACTTCTTTAACTTGGCGGCAAGAATACTGTGGGAGACCGTATCAAAAGCTTTGCTAAAGTCAAGGAATAACACATCCACTGCTTTCCCCTCATCCACAGAGCCAGTTATCTCATCATAGAAGGCAATTAGGTTAGTCAGGCACGACTTCCCCTTGGTGAATCTATGCTGACTGTTCCTGATCACTTTCCTCTCCTCTAAGTGTTTCATAATTGATTCCTTGAGGACCTGCTCCATGATTTTTCCAGGGACTGAGATGAGGCTGACTGGCCTGTAGTTCCCCGGATCCTCCTTCTTCCCTTTTTTAAAGATGGGCACTACATTAGCCTTTTTCCAGTCATCCGGGACCTCCCCCGATCGCCGTGAGTTTTCAAAAATAATGGCTAATGGCTCTGCAATCTCATCCGCCAACTCCTTTAGGACCCTTGGATGCAGCGCATCCGGCCCCATGGACTTGTGCACGTACAGTTTTTCTAAATAGTCCCGAACCACTTCTTTCTCCACAGAGGGCTGGTCACCTTCTCCCCATATTGTGCTGCCCAGTGCAGCAGTATGGGAGCTGACGTGATAAATCGATCCCCGAACGTGTTCCCCGTCGACTCCGGAACTCCACCAGCGCGAGAGGCGGAAGCGGAGTCGACGGGGGAGCCGCAGCCATCGATCCTGCGCCGTGAGGACGGGAGGTAAGTCGATCTAAGATACATCGACTTCAGCTAAGCTATTCTCATAGCTGAAGTTGCATATCTTAGATCGATTCCCCCCAGTGTAGACCAGCCCCAAGACCCATCTGTCCCCGGTGGGGGAGGGTAGTTTTGGATGCACTCGGTCATCCCAGAGCTATTCCATTGCTTGATAGCAGGTATAAATGCATTTCTTGTGAATGGCAATTTTTCTCTGTTTGTCTGCTGCTTGGAAAACATCCACCTATGTAGCTTTGCAAGTGTCGTAATGTTGGTCTTCAAATGGTAAACTCAGCATATGAACACCTCTAGCGCATTTATGACCTCATCAGTGACTGCCTGAGTCATTCTGAGCACCTTCAGAGCAAGGAGAGAATCTTTGGAGGCTGAATGAAATTCCTTCCTGTAAAATAATTTGGTCTTTCCAGCCAACCTTCCAGTACTGTCACATTCTGAAAGGGTGTGGAAACCTGGCAATGCGGCTGTTGAACAGGCCTGCGGAGAACCAGTGTCATTTTCATTCAGTTCTGAAGATGTATTTGTTCATGTGTTCCAGCTGCATAAGGAATGTTAACTGAACTGTGTGATCCGTGGGGCTAGCATGTATGACTGCCAGGAATCATACTTGGGTCATTCACTCTGGCACATTGTGTAGTGCTAAGTTAAAGGCTGACCATGTTGGAATGTATCTGTCTCCTGGAATGTGTGGTATGGTATGTCCGGGGTGTTTGGATCATTTGAAGGTACATGTTCTGTCTCTTCAGCAAAGCAGTACTTAATGAAGCCGGCCTTGGTTTTAGCACTTGGAGGGGCTGGGATTTGCAGTAGTGCTGAGGGATGCAAAAGGATATTAGAAGGGTGGGCCCTAATGGGCTTAGGCAGCTGGATAGATATTTTGATGGAGCTGTGCAGCGCTCTCTCTCTCGCTCTCTCTCTCTCCCCCCCCCTCCTATTTTTTTTATAAATAGAGCCAAAAATAGGTTTTGTAAATCTGAGCTCATAAAACTTGTTATGAACAGAATAGTTTTTT